CAATATATATATACACACACGCATATACATTTATTTATTTATTTATTTATTTATTTATTTATTTATTTATTTATTACATGTCCTTTTGCATTAACTCTGGTTTTAAAACATTTTTAAATGCTAAAGACTTGAGGGGCAACTTTGGGAAATTCAACTACAGACTGACATTAAATGATATTTGTGTATGAGTGTCCATCGTGTTATAATGGTGCTGTGTTGATGTAAGGCAGCTTTCTTATTGGAGATGCATGCCAAAGCATTTAGAGGTAAAATGTCATGATATCTATAATTTATTTTAAAATGGTTCAGAAAATACATAATATATGTAAATTCATACAGATGAAGTAAATTAAGGAAGAATGTCAAATTATTGAAATCAGATAGGATTCTAGGTGTTCATTATAGCATTCTACTTTTTTCTATATTTGAAAACTTTAGAAGTTTAAATTTATACCATCAAAAATAATTGTCTTATAGCTCCCTCCTTTGTCCCATTGTCTTGTCATATGAGATTACAGTCCATCTATTGTAGATAATCTCCTTTCCTCCAGGAAACAGTCTCTTAAACCTTCCCACCACCTCTGTACCTTTGTGGATTATATTCTCTCATCTGGCATTTTTTCTCTCTGGTCGCTGTGCCTCTGGTGATTGTTGACTTATTTTTGTAGGTCAAATCTCAAATGCCACCTTCTCTTGGAAAACTCTAACTGCCCCCCAAAACTGTACACATCTCCCCTTTTCTGACTCCCCATGACACTCTGTACCTCCCATCACACTTATCACCTTCTGTCTCTCATGGTAAAAACTGAAGTGGAACCTTACTGAGAGGTCTCCCATCTGTGAGGCCTGGTCTACCCTCTCACATGTGTCCTTTCGTTTACTCATTTTATTCTACCCCACTGAGGTGAGGTGAGAACTGTTACTACCCTTTTTTCACAGGTGAGCAAACAGGTGTTGAAAGGCTAGGTGACTTACCCAAGTTGCAGGTTAGTAACTGACAGGGCCGGGCTGCATTCCAACACAGTCCCATCTGCTTCCAAACTCTCAAGCACTAATGTACAGGTCATTTGCAGGGTGGCCTGCCCTTCCCTGCTACATTATAACAATTTAAGGGCGGGCACCACACCTTATTTATTTATTCACTCAACAAATATATGTTGAAAAGCCACTACTTTCAGGAAACAACCTCTCCATGTGATAAGATAAAGTAGTGAGTGAAAAAGGACAGTTTTTGACCCATATAAAAACTAAGAATCTGAACAAACTATGAACTTTACTTAATAATAATGTATCAACATTAGCTCACATCTGTAACAAATGTGCCATATTAATGTAAGATGTTAATAATAGGGAGAACGTGGGGAGAGGGTATATGAGAACTCTGTACCATCTTCCCAATTGTTCTGTAAATCGAAAACTGTCCCTAAAAAATGAAGTCTATTTTAAAAAAGGACTCAACTACAAAGTCAGTTTTCTAGATTGGCTCACAAACTGCCTTTTTACATCAATCCCAAAGAGTTGTCCCATCATCACAGCAAAGCGGTGGTGCTGAAACACATGCACGGGGCCTATTTGGGGAATGAATTGGAACTAGCATCTCCCACCAAATGTGTGGCATGTGCTTCTTAAACTTAAGCTCATACATTTATATCCCTCCTCTCATACAACACTAAAATGTTTTATGTTCCAAGTTCTCCAGCTTAATTCACCACATTTTAATCAATATTCCTAAGAAGGCTTTTATCATATCTCCTACCTCTCTAAGTCAACTCAAGTTCTTAAAGCAAATCTTAGAAAGACCATAGGCAGGTCAACTTTTTTTAAGTGATTTTTTTTTTTTTTTTAAACCACAGAGTCCCAATTGCCATGTTCCATAGCTATCTCCAACCCAGACCTTTAGGCCTTTGCACTTAACACAGTCATCAATACTAAGCCGGATTCTTTCCTACAGGCCAGAACTCCTTTCCTGTCCAGGGACTTCTCTCCACTGTAAAATGACACTCTCCACTATACCTGGGAGATCTGCTAGACTTCCACATATAAAAACTTCCCTTTGGGGAGCTAGCCTAATAAATCACGATTAGTAACAGTAACTTTTTTTAGCTCAAACTCCTAGAAAACTATAGATGATCCAGGAAGGACATAAAATATCACAGAAGTGTAAACATTTAATAGACACCTTTGATAAGATTAGCCACAACAATAAATAACAGAATTAAGAATATAATATAATATAAAATGTGTCTGTGGCACCTTTTATAATTTAGTCTTATAAAAGACCTGTGATATAGGTGGTAAAGACATCACCCCATTTTATAGATAAGGAGAATTAAGGCTTGGCATTGAGGCCAGAACTCAATCATATCCACACTGCTGATTGTTCAACTGGGGATCCTTCAAGGCCTGGTGCATTGCCAGTTGTGTCTGTGCTCTCTCCAGCCAAAAATACAGGACCTTTCCCCTGTTGTAATTTTCTCCACAGTTCTCTGCCATCTCTGGAGGCACTCTCTCTTCCTCTGCAGGCCTTATGTCTGTTCTTGCATCCAATCCCCTGAGTAGCATTATATAAACCACCTCAGGATCAGGCCTGTGCCTCACTCATGCTTACAGCCTCTGAATATTAACACCATGCCTCGCGCAATGGGTGCTCTCCAAACCCAAAGCCCCGTGACCACAGGGATGACCCTGGGCTGCAGAGCTTACCCGTGGGCAAAAGCTGTGAAACAAAAACATACCCTGTTCTGGTTCTTGAAAACTAATGGGGAGTTCAAGGTGACTTTTTTCCTTGACCTTAAAGAAAAATAAATTATGTTTATGTTTTACAAACATGGCTGATAACCATAAATAGAAAGGAGAGATTTCCCCATGAGTCCTGAACTTGGGCCTCCAATTGAGGGCCAGGAACATTCCAAGGAATGTGCCACGGGTTTTGGTTTTCATCCAGATTCCAGGAAAAGGGAAGACAACAGTGACTTTTACCATCCATATAGCTTAAGTTCTTCTTGATCTAAAAATCAGTTTGTACATATCTCTCTTTCTATAGATTTGTTGGCCACGTTGACTGTTCTGTTATTAGAGCCTTTGAATCTCAGCATTTAAATCAAGTAAAAAGTCAAATATTTTTAAGAGATCAAATCATTAAAAAAAAATTCTTCTCTGCCCCCTAGTATAAGATATAAAGCTCCTGACTTTGCACAGAAAGTGACTAATTCAGAGTTAACTCTCCTGCCTGGAACACTGAAGGCTTCCAGTGTGCTAGGACACAACCAAAGTCGCTGAAAGAAGCAGTTTACTGAATGGTACTTCTGTGTCTTCAAAGTTTTAATATGTCCAATGGCAGAAAATCAAAACCATCTGAATCAAAGAGGCTAAAATTCAATGCCTGCTTTGTTTCTAACCAGAATAACCAAAACTGAATATGGCTCACTAAAGTTTTAAATTCCTAACTCACTGTATTTCCTGCGTCCAACCAGAAAAGAGACTTTTAAAAAGTAAAATAAAATGTCTAATTCTACCATCAGTAACATGTGCCTTGAGTTTTTTATCAGGAATGAAAGATGAGATGTGTAGAGCTATCTAAACCCGTCCCTGTACGTAAAGGACATATGCTATAGAATCAAACAACACAGAAATAATTAAGAAATGCCCTCAAATTTCTCAGTTAATGAATTGCTTCTCTGCCCTCATCAGAAAAGTGATTGCAGAATACCGGAAGGGCCTGAAGGGTGTGGGTGTCCACTCCTGGACCCGCTCATCTGTGGTGTGTCCTGGCGCAGGGTTAGGGTGGGAGAGGTCAAGCAACAGGGAGTTGGCACTCATAAAAAGCATCTGAGGTGTCTCCTAAGATTAAAGATTCCACCAGCCCCTTCGTTTTCCCACTCTGGTTTTGTTCCAGGATGCTGACACATTTAACAACAGGTTTCCTTACCCTCTGACCCCTTATTGCATTTGCCCAATGGAGAGGTCCCACAGGAGAGCAGAAGAGAAGAGCAGAGTGATTCCCTCCCCGCAGGTCCCTTCAGGTCACAGGTCCTGTCTGGCGGTCCCCTACACAGAGCTCTCTGTCTCTCTGTAACTGCTCCTCCCTCACCTCTCAGACCCAGAGTGGGAGGAGTTTCGGGGCTACCAGTCCCAGGGCACCACACTGGAGAGTGTAGCACACCCAACTCACAAACCTTACTCCCAATTTGCATGTGCCACCTGTTTCTGGATGGGACCAGACTGCCACTGAGACCTCAAGAGTGTGAATACTCACCTAACAGGAGAGTGCCCTGTAATTACTACTGTTTTGATCCCACATTTACGGCAGCCTTGCATCAATTATGTCAAAGAAGAGGCATCTACAATACTGCAGGACCTTTCAAAGCTAACTGTTTTGGCTGGTTTACTGACATTTTTGTTTGTTTTAAGCCCACAAAATGCCATCACCTGCAATGATGAATTACACAGTATAGGAAATATACTCATAGCTTAAGGGGTCCCTTTTCCCCCAGCCTTATGGAGGTATAATTAATACATAATATCATAAGACATTTAAAGTGTACAGCATGGTAATGTGATACACATATATACTGTGAAAGCATTTCCACCATCTAATTAATTAACACATCCACCACCTCACGTATTTATCCTTTTTGGAGGGGGATAAGAACATTTATGTTCTATTCTCTAGAGAATTTCAATTATAAAATCTATTGTTATCAACTATAATCACCATGTTTTACTTTAGACCCCTAGACCTTATACACCTTGTAGCTGAAAGCCTATTTTCCCCACCTCCCAGACTCTGAAAATCACTTTTTCTACTCTGTTTCTGAATTTTTATTTATTATTTATTTATTCTAAGATTCCACAATTAAGCAATATCATGCAGTATTTGTCTCTTTGTCTGGTTTCTTTCATTTAACATAGTACCTTCAAGGTCCATTCATGTTATTGAAAATGACAGGATTTCCTTCTTTCTTATGGCTGAATAATATTCCACTGCATATATATCCCACCTGATATATATATATATATATCCACATCTTCTCTCTCCATTCATCGACTGACAAACACTCAAGATGTTTCCTTGTGCCGGCTGTTGTGAACAATGCTGCCATGCACATGCGAGTGCACATCTCTCTTCAGGATCCTGTCTTCATTCCCTTTGGATGCACACCTAGAAGTGGAATTGCTGGATCGATCATATGGTAGTTCTACATTTAATTTTTTGAGGAATCTCTATACTGTTTTCCATAATGGCTGCACAAGTTTACACTTCCATCAACAGTATACAAGGGTTCCCTTTTCTCCACTTCCTTGCCAGAATTTCTAGTTTCTTTTCTTTTTGATAAAAGTCATTCTAACAGGTGTGATATCTCACTGTGGTTTTGATTTGCATTTCCCTGATGAGAAGTGACATTGAGCATCTTTTCAGGTACCTATGGGCCATCTGCATGTCTTCCTTGGGAACACTTCTATTCGGTTCCTTTGCCCATTTTTTGACTGATTGTTTGGGTTTCTGGTTTATTTTTTGTTTTGTTATTGAAAGGATTGTATGAGTTGTCTGAGTGCTTTAGATATTTTGAATATTAACCCCTTATAGATGTGATTTGTAAATATTTTCTCCCATTCCACAGGTTACCTTTTGGTTTTGTTGATGGTTTCCTTTGTTGTGCAGAAGTTTTTGAGTTGGTCATAGTCCCAACTTGTTTAAGTGATCCTTTTAAAAACATAAGTCAGATCAAGTCAGCTCTCTGCTCAAAACCCTGTCATCTCTCTGAATATTTTAAGTCCTTATTCTACCCTATAGTAGCCTTCTGAACCCTTCCCTCACTCCACCTCGGTATTTTTGACATCACCCTTCCTTTGACCCTCTGCTCTAGCCTCAAGGGCAGCTTTGCTGTTTCCCAGACTGGCCACGGTCCCCCCCATGTGAGGGCCTTGGCTCTTGCAGTTCACTCTGCCTAGAATGCTACCTGCTGAGTCCTCACATCACTGATTCCACAATCAGTGGACTGGTAACGGTCCCTTCTAACTGGTCTAGGAGGCCCTTGCCCATCACCAGCTCTTAAGTAGCCCTCTCTTGTTTCCAGCTCTCTCTCCCCCTAATTTTTCTTCAGTGTGCTTATTGCACCAATATAGTATACATTTATTTGTTATTGTCCATCTCCTCCTACGAGAATGCATTGTCCCAGAGAGCAGGGACATGGTCTGTTAGGATCACCGCTCATACCCACTGCCTTGGACAGTGGGTGACATATAATCAGCACCCACTAAGTAGTTATTGAATAAATGGATGATTTGGCTGGGGGAAAATAAAAAGAACCGCTAGTCTCCTTTCTTAATGATTGCAGCTAAGTTTCCAGTAACCAAGAAAATGTTCAGGAGCCACCTTTCAGAGATGCTATAGACGGGATTCTATGTAAATTAAAAATGAGTTTATGGAATAACCTGCCATCCTACATGAGAATTCTCTACATGGCACATCAAAACCATCAAAGTATACAGTAAACAATCCAAAACATAAATAAATTTAAACAACTGTTTAAACCAGGGCAGCAAAAATATTCTGTAAAGGGCCAGGCAGTAAATAACTTGGAATTTGCAGGTCACAATGACTCGCTCCGCTGCTGCAGCATGACAGCAGTCGTACACAGTACAGAAACGAGGCAGCAGAGCTGTGTTCTCTATTAACACTGAAAAATGAGTTTCATGTAATTTTCAAGTGTCATGAAATATTCTTCTCTTAATATTTTTAATCATTTAAAAACATGAAAACCATTCTGGGCTCATGAGCCATACAAAAACAGGTAGCAGGCCAGGTTTGGCCTCTGAGCTGCAGAGTTTACTGGCCCCTGATTTAAATCATTTCTAAGGGGGGCTTCTTAACTACAGATATAGTACATTCTGACCCATGAATCTGTTGGATATTCTACAATTAATTAAGCATGGAATAATTGTATTTGGTAAAGAATAATAAGTTGAATGACAGTTTATTTGGGTGAATAAGCATGACTAATTAATTTATTCTTCTAGAACTGTCTTTCCACCCAGGTTTTGGTCATCTTCAAACACAAGCTCTGTTTTAGCTTCTTTTTTCCTCATCTAAGTATCTTCATTTTCCATTCAAATGCGGAAATTTTGTCCTATGCCTTCATTCTTTAGAGAAAGGGGAAGTGCAACAAAATCTTAGGATAGAGAGAAGACAGTAGTAGTTCCCTCGGCACTGGGGCAAGGCAGATTCCAGTATAATGTTTTATGATTAAATGTACAATGTGTTGCTTACACTTAGCTTTCAAATACTTTCAAACACACCCTGTTGTGTGGGCCCTGGAATGAGAACTATTTTGATTACAGGTGCTGCTAGAATTCAGGGTCATCTGTCCCCACGAGCCATAAAATTTGCTGAAAAGGCCAGGGTGGGAGATTATACAGCCAAAATATGTTACTTCATAATTTGAAGCAGAAGACTTTAAATTTCACTTAATTATGATAGTCTTATCTATCTCTCCTACATAATAGCAATATATGAAAATAAGGAATTTGAAGAGGCACTCTTGATGGAATCACTCAGAAGAATCGACCAAACATAGGAAAAAGGTATAATTAATGTCAAATATGTCTATTTGACCCTAGATACTCAGGAGAGAACAGGAACACATCATTTTGGTGTCTCCAGCTATTTTAAATAACCTGATGTTGGGTGTCCCAGATGCCAATCAAGAAAGAATTCAAGAGGGACGTTCTCAACACTTACTGCCCTCATTTTCTCCAAGCCCAGGAGACATGGAAAAAAAAGACAAAATTTATGCTAACCTAATTAATTAAAGACTCCACTTGCCCTACCCATTTTGATGGCAGATCCACTGGAATATGAAGTGAAAAATTTTTAAGTTCTTTGAAAGACCTCTAGCACTGGGCTTCTTGAAGAATTTCCAAGTATATCAAAAAATAAACAGGCCAAAGGACACCAATGGTTTTCCAACTCCTGCTGTAAGTAACACACCCTACAGATTACAGTTAAAAACCAGGGATTAAATTAAGCTTCACTTAAATTCCAACTGCCAGGGACAGTCTCCTGGGAAAGCAGACTTGGCTTGGAACCCTGGCGTCTCACATACAGGGTCCAATTCACAACAAAGACAGCCATCCACAAAGCCATCCTGTCTCCACAGGAATCTCCTCCATTCTGCTGAGCTTGAGACCATCCGCATAAATGAAAGCTGAGACATCATATCATAGAAAGTTGTAAGATAAGCGCCTCCACTTCATCCCACAATCGTAACTGAGTTTCTGCGGGAAATTAAAATGCTGGCGTGGCATGCAGTTTCAAACAAAAATGGTCAGAAATGAGTGAATACACCAAGGAATCACCACTGCAGTTGCCTGGCGATGCTATGAGCATTCAGAGACCCAGTCTTTTGGGGAATACCCAGAACACTGCTGAATCATCCTCCGCCAGACATCCAGGGCGACTGTGATGCTGAGGCCAGGTGATGGAGAAAGTGTTTAGGGGAACGTTTCAGTTCGCCGTGGCTTCCGCTCCTATTCATTTCGCAAGGCCTGCCAGTAACAAACCACCACAGTCTATGGGGCTTAAACAACAGAAAATTACAAGTCTGATATGCAGCTGTCAATATCAAGGAGTCGGCAAAGTTGTACTTTTCCGGAGGCCCCCTTCCTTGTCTTGTAGCCTTCTTGCTGTGTCCTCGGTTGTCCTACTATATACGTCTGTCTGAATTTCCTCGTCCAACAAGGGCACCAGTCATGATGGATTAAGGCCCATCTTGATGACCTCATTTATCTCTTTAAAGACCCTACCTCCAAATATACAGTCAGATCCTAAGGTACTGAAAGTCAGGCCTTCAACATATGAATTTTGGGGACACAATTCAGCCTTTTACCCTGCCACAGCTATGGAAAGGCTCTCTTGCTATTTATTCTTACCAGTGTCAGAGGCTAGAGATAATAAACCCATGAATTCAATTCATACCCTGCCACAGCTATGGAAAGGCTCTCTTGCTATTTATTCTTACCAGTGTCAGAGGCTAGAGATAATAAACCCATGAATTCAATTCCCATTTTTTTAAAAATAAGCCACCTTTCTTTCATAATGAAAGGATATTAAATTCAACAATGTTGCAACACCACTCTGATTTTGATTACCAAAAAAAAAAAAAAAGCAGCTTATCACTTTCACTGCCTCTATGAAGTCCTTCATTCCATACCAGATCCAATCGTAAAGTCTTTGGGGGTGGGAACACTCCCAAAAGATTTCTAAGCACCAGCTGGCAGCCCACATTTTATAAGCAATTTTCACTGCAACAAAGATCCAACACAAGGAAAAATCAGGACATTCATTTGACATTCATCATAGTGGAAGGCAAATGTAAAAAAATACATTCTCACTTCTTTCACATGTGCCTTTTCATATAGACATTCACATCTTTGCAGGAAGAATTACCTAATGCTGTATTAATCTATACTGCCAACTCCTGATTATCAAAATGGGTTTAAAAAATAATACTGAGATCAAGATTTCTTCAAACCAGGTGTGTGTGACCAGGAATATCATCAGCCAAATATATTAAAGTCCTGTATCTAAATGATCACAAAAGCCCTGTTTAAAGGAAATACCAAAAACAATAGCATTTAAATGATTTTGATCTGAAGTTAAGCCTTCAATAATTTATGCCTTAAAACCACTTATGTCCTCCAATTATATCTATATTACTCATTAATTCCATAAACATTAACTGAGGCTGTACTATGTAGCAGGCAGCATTCTAGGATGAACAAACAAAATTCCTGTCCTCATGGAACTGACATTCGGGCAAGATACACACATCACTTCCCCTAGTGTCCTAGAGCACACTTCCCTTCCCAATTTCCCTGACTGGGGCAATTCTATCTGTAGCCTCCTACCTTCCCAAAGACAAAACTTATACTTATTTTATATATTATTTTGTCCTTCACGTCCCCCCTGGGGTTTCTAATGGTCATTTCTGCCTCCCCCACCTACCCTTCCTCAGACATATAATATTATCACCACAAGCCCCAGCCATGAAGAGATGACCCTGCTTCTTCCCCTGCACTCCTGGTCATTCACCAAATCCTATTAATCCCACTCCTGGAATCTCTCCCCAGTCTTTTCCGTACTCTCCTTTCCCACCACCA